ATATCACAGCAGTCAGCAATAATCCAGTCATATCACAGCAGACAGATATAATCCAGTCATATCACAGTAGACAGCAATAATCAAGCCATATCACAGAAGTCAGCAATAATCAAGCCATATCACAGCAGTCACCATGAATCCAGTCATATCACAGCAGTCAGCAATAATCAAGCCATATCACATAAGTCAGCAATAATCAAGCCATATCACACCAATCTGCAATAATCAAGCCATATCGCAGCAGTCAGCAATAATCAAGCCATATTGCAGCAGTCAGCAATAATCAAGCCATATCACAGCAGTCATCATGAATCCAGCCATATCACAGCAGTCAGCAATAATCAAGCTATATCACAGCAGTCAGCAATAATCAAGCCATATCACAGCAGTCATCATGAATCCAGCCATATCACAGCAGTCAGCAATAATCAAGCCATACCACATCAATCAGCAATAATCAAGCCATACCACGCCAATCAGCAATAATCAAGCCATATCACAGCATTCAGCAATAATCAAGCTATATCACAGCATTCAGCAATAATCAAGCCATATCACAGCAGTTAGCAATAATCAAGCCATATCAGAGCAGTCAGCAATAATCAAGTGATATCACACCAATCAGCAATAATCAAGCCATATCACATCAGTCAGCAATAATCAAGCCATATCACATCAGTCAGCAATAATCCAGTCATAGCACAGTAGACATCAATAATCCAGCTGTTTCACAGCAGTAAGTAATAACCCAGGCATATCACAGCAGTCAGCAATAATCCAGTGATATCACAGCAGTCAGCAATAATCCAGTCATATCACAGCAGACAGCAATAATCCAACTGTTTGACAGCAGTTAGCAATAATCCAGTCATATCACAGCAGACAGCAATAATCCAGTCATATCACAGCAGACAGCAATAATCCAGTCATATCACAGCAGGCAGCAATAATCCAACTGTTTGACAGCAGTCAGCAATAATCAAGTCATATCACAGCAGGCAGCAATAATCAAGTCATATCACAGCAGGCAGCAATAATCCAGTTATATCACAGCAGACAGCAATAATTTAACTGTTTGACAACAGTCAGCAATAATCCAGTCATAACACAGCAGACAGCAATAATCCAGTCATATCATATCACAACAGTCAGCAATAATCCAGATATATCACAACAGTCAGGAATAATCCAGATATATCACAACAGTCAGGAATAACCTATATTTGTCACGGCATTCGGCAATAATGCAACTAGATCACATTAATCATATATATCGTCTTTCTCTTAGTAGTCAGCAACAACCCTGTTATATCACAATACTCAGACATAATCCAGCTATATCACAGCAGTCAGAAATGATAAATCTAGACAACAGGAGACACCAACGATTCGGCTTATCAAAGCAGTAAGGAAAACTCTAGCCATATCACAGTTTGCAGTAATAATCAATCAAAACCACAGCAATCTGCAATAACCCCGTAGTCAGCAATATTCCACCTGTATCACAACAGTCAGCAATATTCCACCTGTATCACAGCAGTCAGCAACATTCCACCTGCATCACAGCAGTCAGCATTATTCCACCTGTATCACAGCAGTCAGCAATATTCCTCCTATATCACAACAGTCAGCAATATTCCACCTGTATCTCAGCAGTCAGCAATAATCCATCACTATAACAGCAGTCACTGAACTTAACTCCTTGATGGAGAGGCACTCTTCTAAAGTCACTCTTACCCTCAAAATTGAATCATATATAGTTCCTCCAAATAGTCATAAATATAACTTCAAATGAAGTGTTTTAAATTCATATGGAAGGGTATACCTGATAAAATGAAACGTGATATCATGAATTATGATGTTTAATCCTGAACATGCCTGAATTAAAGGACCTCATTTTTGAAGGAAATGATAGCATCACAGAAGTTTAGGTGTGTAAATTGATAAGATACCAGCAATCGAAAGATGAATTTATCCTTCTTAACCAATAAATGTTTGATATGGTTTGCAGGCAGCCACTACATAATTCAAACAAATACCCCGTATTCGGGAAAGATGTCCTTTGAGTTTGGTCGAAATTCAATATTAAATTCAGAACTCCAAACATGATGAAAACAAGAATTTCAAGCCCAACATTTATGGACTAATGATGATATTAATGTGGATAAAATACCGATTATGTAAATTAGAAAGGTCTGGTACAAGAACAATTTGATACATAAGGAAGGTAGATTACTAACCAATGAAGAATTCAAAAATAGATAGTCAATTAAAACACATATTTGGAATTATGAATGTGTTAAAAGTGTCATGTCATATGCATGAAAACTGGATATAAAGCAATTTAAGAAACCCTTGTGTACCCATTCAATCTTCTGCAAGTCAACTTTACACTTGGAAGTCAACATATGAACGCTACTCTTCTCAATTCAAATTACACCAGTTGCCATGTTATTCCAGATGAAATGTGTTGAAAACGCGTCAAACTAATTAACATTCTAAAACAATTCTAGTTATAACCAGTATGTTGATTCTATGTAGATATATGCACACATATCCCGTTGCTCCCCCCTCAGAGTATCACTGTATCGTGATTTGTGATATAGTGGTTGTTTTAAACACTCAAAACAAAATGTTGTCATTCGATGAAAAACATATAAGGTGCTATGACGTCAGAGACTGTGACTTCATTGAGCGTTAAGTCATTCTTTTTATACCATCGAATGTTTTGTGTATCAGATTTTGATGAATCTATTTTGAACCATGTGGGAAAGCATTTTACCATAATCTGTATGAACCGCATCACTATTTTGTCAACAGAAGCCTAGGAAGAAGCAGCTTTCGACTTTATTCTCTCTAACCAAAGGAAAGAAAACGGAAATTACCACAATGACATAATAGAGTAGACTTAAAGCATGTGAACCTGGAGCCAGTCAGTCCGTTAACTCACCCTTTCCAGACGAATAAACCAGGAGATGTACACATACATGCAAATCGTCATTACACTGTTCCTACATTTATATGTGCTATTTTAAAACTCAATTCTGGGTGCGAATATTAGATATTTTGATTTCAAGGCAAACTGTAATTACATGTTAAATGATGATTTAATAATATGCCAAAAATGGCGATAATTACTATGTTCCTAATTTTCCTTTGATTAAAATGACAGTTGATGATATCACAGAACCGGATATTTCCCACGAAATTGAAATCCTTCAAGTGTATGTGTATGTGTTATGTAATTTTAATGTTATTTGACTTCAAACTGAAGGCAGAAGACGAGGGACGAGAATGTGGCATCCAGGTTTTTTTAATGAACCTTGAGTGGAAAAGTAATGTTGATTTATTGTCCTTTATTGCCGATCCACAAATGTTCAACTCGGGTTGCCACATGAAAAGTAGTTCCGGTCTAAAAGTCGTGTAAAGTCTTAAAGTGGAGCTTAAACTTTGTAAACGTCACTTTTTTAAGTTTGTTGAAAGACGAACGGGTCATGTGAGCAGGGACTAAACCAATCACATATAAATATATATAAGAAATAAACGACGATTTAGAGTTATTTATGGTACAATACAACAGTGCAGGAAGAATAAACCATGAGGTGCGCAGTGTTTTACGAGTCATTTATTTCTCATGTTTCTTAAGGATGTCAATAAATTGTACAAGCTTTTACAAATTAACCCGTATTTAAATAATTATGACTTCCCGAATACAATCCGACCTCGGCAATGTCGGACAACTTCAGTGTTTCTACAGGTGGGATTATGTTTGGCATTTTACAATTTTCGTCGATTATCTGCATCTGTATTCCCATTTCACAACACCGATTGTCATATCACTCCAACTTTTGTGAGCGATCGTTCGGCTTTGCGTTCATGTTAGCAACTATTATTTTATGAGACACGAGGTGATTCATTTATACTTCCCCATTTTGAGGAAGAATACAGTTTCCCGGAAATATAAACTCTGACTCCACGACTGCTGGTCACACGCTTAGCCCCATCAGTTAGCTGAACACAGCAACATTGACAATGTCTATCTCTAATAATCAGTAAGTAGGTTTAATGTACACACATTTACAGTGCCATGACCTTGTTTTAATTGTTATTCATATCGGTATACAATCTTTTACATTTTCAGACACTTCAAGACTTCTGTGACGATGCTGTTTTTGGCGTTCAATGTACTAATCATACGAGGTAAGTTCTTAACATATTCCTTGTTTTAATCACTTTCTCTGCTACAGAAGATCAGTGTATAAGTAATGCATTAGTTTGTCTGACTTTTCTTCCAACACTGACTTATAAATTGAAATAAGAGTAAGGATAGGGTATATTGATGAACAGTTTCTTTATTACAACTTCTCATTTACAAAGTTTTCATCCATTTATCTTATCTCTACTTAGTACCCTAACTTCTAAACGCTTCTCAAAGAAGTTGAAATGAGAGGTCGTCATGCTCCACTGATCTTAGCGATTCACCTGCTAATCACGATCGAGCGGTCGGTCGCTCGGCTTCAGTTCTTCGACTCTCTGGCCATAAGGCCAGCTCAAGGGAACAGATGGTCTGTAAATTTCATTATGTAGCATTTTAATCTTATGTTCTTTCCATGTGTTTATTTGATATATGGTATCTCCTATGTATGTGCAAACATTTTCACATGTTGAAAATGTTTTCTGATTAGTAAATTCGATTTTCATGTAGTGGAGGGATAATCATACATATCTGAAAGAATTTATGGATGGCAATCACTTTATTATGAGTAACACAATGTTTCGAATTGTATGTTTACTTCTTCACCAGGTGAAATGGTGATACACTTTGAACTCCAAAAAGTGATGTTTCTCATAAAAAAGAATTTGACTTCCATACATTATTTTCCTTATGTGTATCGCTTCTAAATGTCATTCAAATACTTTTTATGAGGAACATACTTCTCGGGATAGATTACGCACCAGTTAAAATATTGTCAATACGTAGCTACTTTCTCAGTCTATGGATGCAACAAGAGAAGGAGCCCTTTCCTGTCACTGATAAGTGTCTTATAAGTAAGCCCAACAGGGGGAGTTCTTGAAAAGCCAAGCAGAATGTCCTGCCCATTTTGCATCGAGAGTCACAGTTAGAAGTGTTACGGGGCACTTCTTAAGAAGAAACTGTTCCATGCATTTGTAACGAAGTGAATAAATGGTCAACGCAGCAATCATTCGTCACTATTTCAGCTGATATGTTATCAAACACAGACGCTTTACCGATTTTCGACCAGGAAACTGCCTTTACTACTTCAGCCCGAGTAAGCGCCGGGTCCCCGTGCTGCGTATATTTAGTTAACTTATTATCGTAGCGATAGTAGCACCGAATACAGTTAATCGTAGTTCTGTTTCCAACTAGCTAGTACATAATTTACATACTTGGGTATATTCTTCAAAACGGGTATTTTAAGTTCCATGTCTTAATTAAAAACAAGGTCATCTTGAGCTTGGTTTACGTAACTAAAATCTCCTATGGATTTGTTGATTTATTTTGCATAGTCTACAATAATGTAATTAAATTCTTTTCCACATTGGAACCACCCATTTAACTTACGAAAGTTGGTATCAACAAGGAAATATATCAATAACTACCCACGAATGTTTACTGATATATCGCGGATATCTCGGTTTGGTATTGAATCAACTCCATATGCAAAATCATCGTGATCACGGGTTCTGGCGTTAAAACCTCTACAAACGAGTATGATACATTGACATTGGTAATTATAGAATATTTAAGTGATTCAATTGCTGTGGGAGATGAGTTTTATTATTCCTATGGATGTAAAGGTTTTCTCATACAGCGATGTGAACTCTTAATTAAAGAGTTTCCAAACTTTCCAAGTTAAGACATTTATGATCATTAACAATGTAAGAGATAAAAAGGCCGATCTGAATGCCTTAACAATGTGTCATAGGATTGTTAAATTGTATTACTATAAACGTATCCTATTCTCATAATTCGTGTTAAATGCTGTCATTTCAATTTGTACATGTAATAAATTGCATATAATTGTATTTCATGTACCCCCGTTGATGCTTTCCGAGAATCAATGGGTTGGAGTAAACAAACTAACATATTCTTTTATTGTTTATATTTCAGTGGTCTTTTTATTATTCTCAGTTGTAAGGTTGATTCGTATCTGTCGAAGATCCTAAGCTATATATCTAGCCCAAAGGAGTTAGAAATAACGGGCTTCGATTGTAATTAATGCATGGTTAAGGATAACAAATAGCAAACTCACATTTATCAAAATAATTGTGAAGATATAACGAAATCTAATACGAATGAAAAAATGAGCATTACAAAACAGGTCAATGCAAATCAAACATTCCAAAGTTGATCATGTCACGCCCTTCTTGATGTCATACTGAACACCATACTGATTCTATATTTTCAGCCACGCCATGCCGCAATGGTCAGCACTGCCGAGAATGTGACGATGACGGAGACTGTTCACAGTGTGAACGTGGATACTTTGGCAAGAAATGCAGGTCAGAGTGCAGCAGCAGATGCACAAATCGGTCGTGTGAACTCACAAAGGGAAGAGGCATCGAGACATGCACGGAGGGATGTGTTCCAGGTTTCCAGGGTACAAGCTGCAACATACCATGTGACAACCCTGGGACACAATGTGCAGTGTGTGACGGTGGATGTGATGGAGGATACTGCAGGCTGAATTCATCCTGCGTTTCTGGATGTGTTGACTCCTACTATGGCCTTGACTGTAAGAACTGCTCTGAGAGATGTAAATCCTGTAAAAGGTCTTCAGGGATATGTGACGATTGCCACGCCCCATACAGGGGTCTGAACTGTGATATGTCATGTGAGAACTGTCCAGGATCTTGTGAGTCTGGATGTGAAGGAGGCTGTAAACCTGGCTTCTATGGACCTTGGTGTGATAAGGTGTGCAGTGAAAACTGCCGTCCTGGCACCGACACAGATGCAGTTTCTATCTTGGAATGTGACAGAAACGTCTCCATCAATTGCATCACCGAATGCAATAAAACCACAGGAGATTGTGTCGTCGGTTGTAATGCCGGATGGTATGGTAAAAACTGTTCATCCCGCTGTAACCCAGAGTGTTCGTATGTGGCCTGCGCTGAGTCAGGGGCGTGTGTAGATGGTTGTGCACCAGGGTATGCTGGGACTGACTGCTCATGCAACGAGAACTGCATCGATCTTGATTGCCACTCGGAGAACGGAACCTGTGTGAAAGGATGTAACAATGGTTATTATGGTGCGTTTTGTAACAACACCTGTGAGATATGCGTTGATGGTGTTTGTGACCGGAAGTTTGGATTCTGCAACAAAGGATGTAATATTACTCACCAGACTTGCAAATCTACATGTCGACATGATTGTCCCATAGAGACATGCCTTGAAGACAGAAGGTGTTCTGGTAAACATGGACAAACAATTCTTACTTATCGTCAATGCAAGATTTGTCTTTACTGCCATTTACTTATATTAGCACGTCCCATTTTAATTCTGGAAACCCAAAAGTTCAGAAACTCTACGGTCTTTGCCGACTTGCGGTCAAAGGTATTTACAAAATTAAACATGCTGTTTTCATGGGAACATACCAAGGGATATATTCATTCATATTCATATATGTATTCATTCAAGTATCATGACACAAAATTTAACTCATTTTAGCTTAATTCAACTATTTTATAGCGATATTGAAATATTTCGCCCATGGGCGAGAAAAAGGTTTGGCCAATGGGCAGGCCAATGGGCGAGAATATGTTCCTTTACTCAAAACTCATGTTTTTGTTTGGCAAATACATTAAATGTCTTCATTCAAGTATCATGACACACAATTTAACTCATTTTAACTAAATTAAACGATTTTATAGCGATATTCGAATAGTTTTCCCATGGCCGAGATAAAGGTTTGGCCCATGGGCGAGAATATTTTCCTTTACTCAAAACTTATGTTTTTGTTATGCAAATACATGCAGGTGTGCTTACCATTTTTATGGCACATAATGTAACTCAATTTTACTTAATTCAACTATTTTATAGCGTTATTGAAATATTTCACTCATGGGCGAGAAAAGGTTTGGCCCATGGGCAGGCCCATGGGCGAGAATATTTCCCTTTGCTCAAAACTTGTGTTTTAGTGTCGCATATACACAAAGGTGTTCTTAGAAGTTTCATGTCACATAATTTAACAAATTTTAACTTAATTCAACTATTTTACGGCGTTATTGAAATATTTCGCCCTGGACGAGAAAGTTTGGCCCATGGGCGAGAATATTTTCCTTTGCTCAACAGTCTTAGTTTCGCAAATACATAAAGGTGTGTCTACATGCATGACACATGATTTAACTATTTTACGGCGTTATTAAAATATTTCGCCCATGTTTTCGTCAGTCCCTTTAAAGCACCAACTAACTGTGTGCAAAGTATATTGTATCATGTGAAATATACTTTATATTATATCATTAAATTACTTTTAAAAAGGGCATTTGGTTGGATGTTTCCTTTATAGAAGTTCTACAAATTTCACCTGTTTTACAAATAGTAGCAATCTGTAATGAATCCGGCCTTACCTCTCAAAACGTTTTGACAGTTTATCATACGAATTCATGTGCGTGTACTCCAATTCATTAAAGTTTAGTTAGTTTCTATTTCATTTCCTATTTCATGTCCCGTTGATACATCATACTGGGCAATTACGTGACACTAGGTGTGCAATATACAGTTACGCGTGCGCGTATTTTAATGGGAAAAACTATTCGTCTTTTATTGCATAACGATTGGCTGAATATCTTACATTCAAATGAAATCTCGATATTTATTTAATTACATGCGGTGTCGAACTGACCAGTGGGAATTGTGTTTCAATGTGATTGAGGAAAACGTGAGTGAATATTGTGACACTTAAGCAACTTTTAACTGCATTGTCAATTTTGGTATGAAAATGGTAATAGTTCAGAAAAACGCAACAGTCTTCTTATGATAATTCTCATATTCTCATTAGTACGTTATGTCTAATTACAGTGTCGGCCTTATTTAAAGGTGAGTCTACAATACTTGCTCTCGGTCTATTACAATCTGCCACACCACGCGTGAATAAACAGTTATGCAGGTGTTGCTGTGTACATGTATATTTTTTGTGGATACATGTATTACATATTTTCGTTGGTATGTGGATATATTAAGCACAAAGACACAAAGAGTTTATGAAAAATGAATTGGCGCCTTGATATATATATTCAACGGGAATGAAACTTGTATTTTCTCCGCGATCCTGATGTGAATCATCGTTTAATGGGTCATTCATTAAAAGTATGTTGTGAGGCGATATCAAAGGAGCCGCTCAGTTTACACAGTGTCGTCCGTTTCGCGTGAACTACAACCCCACCCTGTCCATAATAGTTATGTAATCGGTACACAAATATATTTGATGCGATGTCAGTGTGGAAGGAGTTTGAATTAAGTCCGCCACTGGCCTCAGAAATCCTCAAAGTATAGTAACAATCAACAAGGCCAATGCCGTACTAATAACCTAGTGACTCACGTAACAACGGCTGTCAATCTGTCTGCTACAGCTACCATACCATCATCCCTGTTACAACTGGCGTATTAACGGTTTATTCAAAATAGTAATTGTAGAAACGTCGTTAACAGACTAACGTACGTCGTATTCAGTCCTCAACTGGATGTTACCTTCCTTATATCAGCTAACAGCCCTGTTTGTGAAAATATTTACTAGACATAAGATTTAAAGACTAATAAAATCAATTGTAAGACCGCATAGACCATAAAACCGAATAACATATGTCTTGGTATCATCTCTTGTGTATTAGATGATGGTAATGACCTGAAATGTTATAACGTTAGATTAAGACGGAGAAACATTCAAGTGTTTTACAATACTTGGAAACATGAGCAATAAGATGTAGCAACATAAACATGCATTTAATTGGGAAATGGTGAAAACAAATTGAAAAGGATTTTAATACAAAATTATTGAACTAAATAACTTGCCTGAACAGAAGGGGTACCCAAACTTGTTTGACAGTTATTCGTGTGTTGTATACTGTCGAATGGGGCTCATGTGTGTACGTAGGGTACACATATCTATTGCAAGTTTTAGTACTCATACACTTTCTCTTTTTGTTTTGATATGATTTCTATTTTCGTACATGATATGATTTCACTTTATCTTTTGCTGCTATGTTTTTATATGTTCGAGTAGCTGTCTGTCCCTCATAAATTGACATAGTTCTGCCTCGCTATTGCATCTCTTGACTACAGGAGATCTACAGCATATAGCGGATCTAACTGCAATTCTTGTTTTAACCGAGCCCGGGTTTGACATTCCAGTAATTGGATTCAGGTTGATTGCAAGATATGCATGCCTCGTCATAGTGATTGTTGTGAATTTCTCAAAGTTGTGTCTGTTTGTTAGTTGTTTAACGCCGCACTTAGCAATATTTCAGCTGTAAGACGGCGGTCTGTAAATAATCGAGTCTGGACCAGACAATCCAGTGATTGAAATCATGTGCATCGATCCACGCAATTGGGATACGATGACATGCATCAACCATGTCAGCGAGCCTGACCACGCGATCCCGGTAGTCGCCTCTTACAACAAGCGCTGTCGCCCTTTTACGCCAAGAATGGGTTGTTGAAGATCTTCACGGGTCCATTGACGCAGGGATTTGTGTAAAGTCATTCAGACAGCATACAATGCCAACTCAAAAATTATACTAAATGTCTCCGCAAAGTAATATAGTACGGAACTTAGAGTACATGTAGGATTATAATCAGTTTAGGGAGATGTTTAATCCATATAACGTGTTATTATTCTACCTAACAATGTATTTAATGAACTGAATGCAAAACAAACTCAAAGGCTAAACGGTTTCATTGAAAAAACTACCCCTGGTCTTGCCTAATAACACAACTGCAACCCGACACAGATTAAACGCAACTTACAAACACAATCATAATCTGGTTAGTCTGTATCACTCAACAAGTTGGAGCTGCTTACTCTGCCCACAGTATGACAGTATTGGGCAGCTTAGTAATTAGGAGGTAAAACTAGGCAGGTACACTGGTCACACTTGATTGGTCTGTCGGATGATAAGGTCGCCTGTCAATTGGGAGTGAACCAAAGAAATATTGTGTGTGTCCTTTTGCAGATTTAGCCTCAGAATGTGCTGATTCGAATTGGGAACGAAAATAATTGCTTATCATGAGTATATATGATACAGTTAAAAGTTACTTGTACACTGTAGATGTATTCACTTTAAAGTCGTATACGACCTTCGCGAGCGAGTTGAATGATCCAGGTTAATTGCAACGAAGTCTAGAAAGGGTTATACAGTTTTGTATTTGGTAATGTGTAGGTTTGTTAAATATGATTTTTTAATTCCTTTATTTCAATATGTAAAAAAATAATTATGCGCTTAAAAACAGAGCTGACTTGATGGGATATATGGCGTTAGCCACCTGAGATTGTCTGTTGGACACTGTTTAACCTGTGTCCTCACCCTGGTTGTCGTTACCGTTGTTATAAGGGATTAAGAGCTACGGATCATTGCATTTTTGGTTACAGTCTGTCTCACTAAAGTGTACATGTGCAGGTGAACTCTGTTCAATTAGTATATGAAATGCCCCAAAATGTGAACTCCAGACAATAATAACCTGAGAGTATATCCACGTGCGTCTGCCTTTCCCCTCGTTCACCTTCGAAATCCTTGATTATTATATCATGCCACAGTTCTGAAATTAAGTGACAATGTTGCTGAACAGTAGAATCTGATGGACGTATTGTGCAGAACCTGTTTGACACTATGGGTTCCAGGACCACTAACACTCTGAGCTGAAAAAGTTTGGCCCTAACCGCCCCAACATCTACAAGTGTCCCATGCTGAGACCTTTCTCAAAATACAGGCAGATGGCAGGCTGCCAACAAAGAGAAGAAAATATCGCAACCCCGACACAAGTGTGCTCAGTCAAACAATGAACTTACGATCGGCCGAAAACAACTCCATTTGAGTATGCCGATGCTGTATCTCAACCGTGTTGGCCTGAAAATTTAAGCATGCTCATTAAATCCATAATCGTATAATTATTGTTAATAGAAACCGTGTCTTAATTTGTTCTTGCACTGTATCTTATCGTGTATTTCATGTATATATGTGTAATGTGTATATGTATAAATGACTACACTTATACCGCATATTCTGCAACAGACTATAATTAATCACCTTATTTTTGTCTCTCCATTTACCATGGCTGACTGCACTAATAGCCTTTTAAAAGTGGACACCGATTTCAGTATACATGTAGGCTTTTTGTTCGAAAAGGAATATGTAACAGTAACAGTTAACTGTGTACTAATAACATGTTTTAAGTTATCAGTTTTGCGTTCTGATATACAGTGAGTGAGTTGGGTTTAACGCCGCTTTTAACAGTATTCCAGTTATATCGCGGCGTGTCAGCTTAATGTGGCAGGAAAGCCCGAAGTGATGCAGGTCTCAGACGTTTACCACTTCGGTGAAACCCACGAGCATGGGTATGGTGCTGACAAACCTAGAAACATAATCAGGGCGAACCGGGATTCGAACCCACAATCATAGGTTTCTGGCGTGCCCAAGGGACGCATCTCTGCACAGCGAATCGCGGCGCCTTAGACGACTGGGCCACCCGTGCCCCCCTGGGATACAGTGATGTAAGCATTTTCTACAATCAACAATACATGTATATAATTAAATACAAAACGCTCTGCCGTTTTTTTTTGTCGAAATCATTCGATCAAGTAAAAATGACGGCGTGACAAGACGAATCAACTATTTATATTCGATAAAAGAAAATTTCTAACAAGCAGATACATTAGAGACAGTGACTAGACTACATGTACGTTATCCGTATCAATCAAAGGTGTAAATAAACCCTGAAAATCATATCTGTCGGAGACCTACCAAATTACCAAGTTTAATCATTCCTATATTTTTTATAATGCAAATACTTTAGTGATACATTTTTTAGAGGAGAGGGCATACACACAAGTATATTTTGCTTCCGTGTGTGAATGCAGGTTGTATTTGGCATCTCAGTTCTCAGTTTCATACCGGTTGTATGTCTGAATTTGTATATGGAACCATGCGTACAGCATGACAATTACTTGCCAGTTAATTAGTACAATAATGTTTTATAAAAATCTATTTCAATTTGTTTTCACCATTTTCCCTATTCCATGCATGTTTATGTTGCTACATCTTATTGCTCATGTTCTCAAGTATTATAAAACACTTTAATGTTTCTCCGTCTTAATCTAACGTTATAACATTTCAGGTCATTACCATCATCTAATACACAAGAGATGATACCAAGACATATGTTATTCGGTTTTATGGTCTATGCGGTCTTACAATTGATTTTATTAGTCTTTAAATCTTATGTCTAGTAAATGTTTTCACAAACAGGGCTGTTAGCTGATATAAGGAAGGTAACATCCAGTTGAATTCCCAGTTGACGTACTTACTGTTTTTAATCATATATGAGGACTGTATACGACATACGTTAGTCTCTTAACGACGTTTCTACAATTAATATTTTGAATAAGCCAGTTGTAACAGAGATGATGGTATGGTAGCTGTAGCAGACAGTTTGACAGCCGTTGTTACGTGAGTCACTAGGTTATTAGTACGGCATTGACCTTGCTGATTGTTACTATACTTTGAGGATTTCTGTGGCCAGTGGCGGACGTAATTCAAACTCCTTCCACACTGACACGCATCAAATATATTTGTGTACCGATTACATAACTATTATGGAGAGGGTGGGGTGGTAGTTTACCGGACGACACTGTGTATATTGGGCGGCTCCTTTGATATCTCCTCCAAACATACTTTTATTGAATGACCCCATTAAACGATGATACACATCTCGATGAATATTTCAAGGCACTAATTCATCTTTCATAAACATTTTTTGTCTTTGTGCTTAATATATCCACATATCAACGGAAATTTGTAAAACATGTATCCACAAAAAAATATACATTTTCAGGCTAGGTATTTGCCCACAGCAACACCTGCATAACTGTTTATTCACGCGTGGTGTGGTAGATCGTAATTGACCGAGAGCAAGTATTGTAGAATCACCTGTAAATAAGGCCGACACTGTAATTAGTTACAACGTCCTAATGAGAATATGAGAATTATCATAAGAAGGCTGTTGTTTTTTTCTGAACTGTTACCATTTTCATACCAAAAGTGACAATGCATTTAAAAGTTGCTTTAGTGTTATAATATTCACTCAAGTTTTCCTCAATCGCCTGTACACATAATTCCCATTGGTCAGTTCGACACCGCATATAATTAAATAATTATTTCGATATTTCGTTAGAATGTGGGATATTCAGCCAGACGTTATGCAATGAAAGACGAAACTTTTTTTGTTTCCATTAAAATACGCGCACGTGTACCTGTATATCGCATACCTAGTGTCACGTAATT